AAAGAGTGATGTGAGAGAAAAAAAAAAAAAAAAAAAAAAAAAAAAAGATTTAAAAAAAAAAAAGAAAAAAAAAAAAAAAAAAAAAAAAAAAAAAAAGTGTAAAGAAAAACTAAAATATAAATAGGATTTCTGCGCGGTGCAGGGTGTGAACCTGCTTTATCTTTTAGGATTGTTTCCTAAATGCATCTTTATAAACTTGACTTGCTGTCTCAGCAAGGTAAATTATATTTAAAAGCAAAGACCTGAATCCTGCAGTGTTCAAGGAACTCTCTTTTTGTAAATCACAGATACCTCAACCAGAGAAACATGAGGTGAGGGGACTTGGGGCTTATGTTTCCATTTTTTTTAAAGCTACGTGGTTTTATCTGAAGAAAGCGGAGTTTGACTTTAATAAAATTTGCACACACTACAGCAAAGGCCGTGACAATTTTGCTGTCTTGAAAATACTGTCCTGACAACTTTGTTTTTAAAGAACAAACCGAGGGTGAAGGGTTTGGGGAGGGGTTTGAGGAGGAGCTTCACACCAGCGGATACATGGGGTAGGATTGCGGGTCTGGATCACTGGGATGCATCCCTTAGAGGTGGTGGGCCCTCCAAAATCAAAGATTTTTTTGCTGGATTGATGGCTTAACCAGCCCGCCCCGAGGCGTTCCTTACACAATCACTGTTTTATCTGCATCTCTTTGTTTCCTATTTATTATTTAACTGGTCATTCCACTTCCAGCCAGGCTGAGATTGATGTGAACTCTGCTCCTAGGAGAAATCTGGACTTACACGCACAGTTTTTGCTTGTCCTTGAAATGAGTCTCACCAGCACACTCGCTGCAAGTCCTGTCTCGCTTTTGTACGCTCCTTTTTCTTTGTAATAAAATCCAACTGACCAAGTGACCAGGAGACGGGCCGGGGCCCAGGGCTCTCCACAGCTCCTGTATTTATTAAATATTGTTCCTCTCCGGCTCTGACCGTGTTGCTGTGTGATTCTCTCAATTGGTTTCAAATTGAGGCAAAACCGAAGCTCTACCAATGAATTGTTTAAAAGAACCAGACACATTTTTGTATTAAAATTGCTTGCGGTAATAAACGATCTTGCCTCCTACTTTATTCCCCCGTGTTAGCTTTGTAAGGATGAGCTGGAGCTGGTTATCCCGCGTGGGAAGGCAGGGGCTGGGGAAATCAGGGATGTTGGCACCCGGGTTTTCTTGTGGGATGGAGCAGGGAGCCAGGCAGCCCCAAAATTAAACGGTCCAGGTGGGTGGGTGAGGCTGGGGAGGTGCTCAGTGGGGTCGGGAAGTGGGTGCCTGTGAGGGCAAGGGATGCAAGGGGGTGCCCAAGAATTTGGGTGGCCTTGGGAGAGGGTGCCCAAGAATTTGGGTGGCCTTGGGAGTGGATGCCCGAGTGGGTGAGTGTCCCCAGGTGTGAGTATTCATGGATTTGGGTGCCCTGGGTTTGGTTTCCCACCAGGGTGAGTATCCCCAGCCATGGATGTTCAGGGATTTGGGTGCCAGTGAAGGTGGGTGCCCCTGGTTTGGCTGCCTACAAGGGGGACTCTCCTAACTTAGAAGTGGGTGCCCATGGGGTGAGCATCCCCAGGAATGGATTTGTGCACCCACCAGCAGGAGCATCCCTAGGGATGGGTGCCCATGGCTTTGGCTGTGAGTGAGGCTGGCAACCCACGGCTTTGGGTGCCCACGAGGATAAACATCCTTAGGCATGTATTCCATGAATTTGGGTGCTTATGAGGATTAACATCCCTAGGGATGGATTCCATGAATTTGGGTGCTCATGAGGATTAACATCCCTAGGGATGGATTCCATGAATTTGAGTGCTCACGAGGGTTAACATCCCTAGGGATGGATTCCATGAATTTGGGTGCCCACGAGGGTTAACATCCCTAGGGATGGATCCCATGAATTTGG